GCCACCCCGGGCCGCTCGCGGGCATGGACAGCGCGACTGCTGCCGCCTTCGCCCTGGACAAGCCCGCACTGGGCCCCGGGCCGCCGCCGCCCGCGCTAGGGGCCGGCGACTGCGCCCAGGCGCGCAAGAACTTCACGGTGAGCCACCTTCTGGACCTGGAGGAGGTGGCAGCGGCCGGGAGACTGGCGGCGCGTCCGGCGGCCAGGGCGGAGGCGCGGGAGGGTGCGGCGCGGGAGCCGTCCGGGGGGAGCAGCGGCAGCGAGGCGGCGCCGCAGGACGGTGAGTTTGTAGGGGCGCGGACTGCGGGGACCAGGGTGCGGGATCACAGAGGTCGTGGGAACGGAAATGCTGGGCCGAAGGTGCGTGGGGCCGGAGTGGGCCGAGAGATGCTAGACCGGAGGGAGGCGCGGGCGCTCGGTCTGTTGGACCCCAGGGTAGGCGCGAAGTGAGCGGCTTGGAGGCTTCCCCACCAAGGGAGGGTCAGAGCAAACGCATTGGCAGGACCTCTCCGGGTTGCCGGCCCTGTTTCTGGCGTGAATGGCTGACCTCACAGCCACAGTCTGTCAGTGGGCTAGGCTGTTATTGACTGGGATTCTCAACTGGGAGATTCCGCAGATGTGTAACTCGCTACCACTGAGGGTGTGGGCCGCCTGTGTGTCCAGTCCTCACTTCACTCCCAAACAGCCCAGGAAGTGTGATTGTTGACATGTTACAGGTGAGGAAACCGAGACTTCAGAGAAGTACAGAGACTTGACACTGGTCACACAACTGGGGTTCAAAGTCTGTGCTCCCTTCAATCCCTACTAGGTGTTCTTTAGATCCATTCTTTGGCTGGAGTGGGGCGCCTGCTGCCCTCCCCCAATCTTATTCCCACAGAGCAGCTTTCCTAAACTCAGTGGCTTGAGCCTCCAGGCCCCTCCTCACCCTCTAAGGCTAAAGGTCATTAGGAAGGGGCTTTAAAAACAAACAGCCCTCCCAAGTGGCTTTCTTATAAAGTCACACAGAGTCCTAAGCCATTGGTAAGAAGTGTGGGGTGGTGGGGGAGGAAGGGGAGGCAGGAGAAGATGGAGATGAAGCAAAGGTCCTAGCCAGCCCTGGACAGGCTGTGTGTGTGTGTGTGTGTTGGGGGTGGTGGTGGCACAAAGTTTGGCAGTTCACCCTCATTCTGAAGAGAGGGTGGTACCCTACCCGAGCTGAAGAATCTCTCAAGAAACTTCTGCTCTATTCCTTAGTTCTGATTAACAGACTGGGCTTGGGGGGGGGGGAGGGGCTCTGTGACTTTTAAGAGTCACCCACCTGATTCCAGCAGCAGTCTTCCCATCACCCCTGAGCCCCCACCCCCACTCTGCACCAACTTCCAGGATTCAGGGGTGTCCAGCTGGCTACATGCCTCTGGTTTTCCAGGTGAGAGGAGGTACAAGAAAAGTTGAGTTGACTACAGCCTAGTCTGAAATTCTGTGTGTATTTGCAAGGCGCATGACTTCAAGAACGCTTGCCAGCCTGCAGTGCATCTGGTGGGGCTGTGCAGGGTTAAGGTGAAGGACCTGGCTCTATCATAGGGAATCACTGTAGCCAGCTAACTGGCATCCACTGCCTGCCAGCTCTGTGGACTTCCAATTCTCGTCACCCTCTGGAATGAGTAGGAAGTGGGCAGATGCATCTCTGGGAGTTGGGGTTTAGATCTCTGATAGGAAGGTGAGAAGAGTCTGGCTAGGGGTAAAATGGGGGTGCTCTCTGTTGCAAAAGGGAGATCCCACAAACTCTAGGTCAGTTGAGGAGTTCATGTCTCTTGGGAGGAGCAGCTGTAAGTCAACACCACCATCACTCCACCCCAGCGTAAGCAGAAGTCTTTATTTTACCTGGATACTTGGGGACCCTCTAGAGGGTGGGAAGAGAAGGAGGAACAAAGTGAAGGTGAAGGGAAAGAAGGAAGGGAGGAAAAAGAGAGAAGGGTGGAAGAGAAGAAAGGTGGGGCACAGACATGATGGAGAGAGACCAAGGTGTTCGGAGCCCTCGTTCCAGCCAGGGATGGGATGTCCACTTTTGCCCTGGTCTTCCCCACCCCATCCCTTCCAGGGAAACAGTGAAGGATATTGCTACGCTGGGACACAGTACAGAAGGTCTCTAAATGGAAGGTTTTCCTCAGGAATCGCAGGACAGCTAGTATGCGCTGAAACATGAGCATCTTCCCAGCTGCGCCACCTTCCATGAGAGCCTGTGAAACCCACAGCCTTACCCTGAACCCTGAGCACAAGCTTCAACAGACTGGAAACACCCAAGCATTTGTGTGTTTGGGACAAGGAACATGACGGAGCATAGGACCAGCGGGGATGGGACCTCAGGACAGCAGACTGTGTGCACCCAGGGCAGGTGTTTTCTCCTCATATGAGGGACGTGGGGCTGGCATCCCTGAGACACTCTCAGGCTGGCACTTGTCTTGGAAACCTCACCCAGCTCTCAGGAGGACCCAGGGGCCACCCAGACAAGCTCAGTGATCCTGGCCTCCAGGGAGATTTTTCTCCAGGCCTCAGCAAATTGAGAAAAATGTGGACAATTTGGAGAGTTTGTCACGATGCTAAAAAGTCCAATTTGAAGGCGTCTCCTGTGTTTGACATTATGTCTTTCTTATATATATATTTATGTTAAATCCCTTTTCTTTTATGAAATAATAGTGATGCTCAATGGAGACTGTCGTATTTTAATGCCCCTTACTTGGCAGTGGTTCGAGTCCACCAGCCGCTCTGTGGGAGAAAGATAAGGTTTTTTCCTGCTTCTGCAAAGATTTACATCAAAAAACTTATATAGGTTTGCTACAAGTTGGGACCAACTTGAAGGTACTTAACAACAACAATACTATGCCTATTCCTCATATTGGGGGAAAAAAATCACTAGTCCATGAAATCCAAAAGCTGTACGTGGAGTTAAACATCCCCCCATAGCTAACTGGAGAGCCTGCTGCTGACAGCATTTCCTAAAGAGGGAGATGGATACTTTGTGGCTGCCTCCCACCCCCCTGCATTGTGAAAGTTTCTCTTTTGGGTCTGGTCTGAAAGGCTGGGGAGAGGGAAGAGGATGCCTGCTAACTGTGGGTCCCCATGTCTAAAGTTTCCAAAGGTGGGAGAGGAGGAGCCTCCTGGTGAGCCCAGACCACATCACCTTGCCAAAGTGGATAAAACCAACCTTGGGGTGCAGAAGTCCATATCCCAGACATGTTCTTAAGCCCTGATTCCTTACAAAGGAACCCTGGCTCTTTGCAAGGATCTGGGCATGCTTAGAAGTGGCTCACCCTGTGGTGTCTGGGACCATTTTCTGAATCCAAAGAAAGAAACCAATACCAAAGAAATATGGGTTGCCCCCATTAGAGCAATAAAGATTCTTGGGGAAATGAATGCATTAGAACATTGATGATGGGTTTTCAACCTGCAAGGTTAACAGGCACAAAATTTAAGGAAAAAAATCTTTTGTTTTTGCAAAGTCACCCAGTAGACATAGCCTATTCCTGACAATGACTTTCCCAGACCAGGCTCCCCCCGGAACTGGCTGGGAAGACTGTGGCCTCATCAGTGACTCAGAACAAACTGGGGTCTCGGGTTCCTCCCAAATCAAACGCTGAGGTCTGAGCTGGGGCGCTGAGCTATGCCAAGCACGTTAGGAAAATAAACCCTTGTTTGCTGCCTTTGCGATGACTTACAACAAAAGAAACCACATTAATAACTGAGATTTTCTTTAAAGCATTCCCTCCTGTGGGCAGGGCGGAAACGGGGCCGGGCTGGTGGACACACTGTGAAAATAAACAAAGCCCCTGGAGCCAGGCAGGGTGACGCCCCCTGACCATTGTTCAGGGCTGGTACCTGTTTTGGAAAAGCCTAGGATTTGCTGCAGGCAGGATGGAGCAGATCCACTTCCCAGAGAACCGGGACACTGCATCTTTGGAGTCTAAGGTACAGGCCTAGTTGGGGCACCTGGAACCCCCCCAGAGTTGGGAGCTCCCACCTTCAAGGCAGCTGCTCTTTTAATGGAGGGGAGGGGAAGGGGAAAGAAAGTGAGTCTGGCTTGGAGAGTGGGACCTGCCCCTTCCCTGAGTTAATGATGGACACATGAGGCCACAGGGTCCAGAGTTTTAAGAGCCCATCAACCTGCGTTGATTCTAAAAGCGGGCAGCACTAGCCACTGGGCTACTGAGGAAGCTAGGCGGGGGTGGGGGGTGGGAGGAAGCCCTCAGTGGGAATCCAGGACTTTTTAAGAGGAGCTTGTTTTTCCTCCCTTTCTTCTTTTCTTCCCTTTTATCCCTTTCCTGGGGGTTGGGGGGAGGGGGGAGGAACAGAATCATCTGCAGTGAAGGAGCACTGGACTGGGAGTCAAGATACCCAGGTTCAGGTCCTAGCTTTTTCTACTCTTTCCATGTGTGACCTTGGACATGTCTTTTCCTCTCCCAAAGTCACATGGTTTCCTATCTGCTCAATGGGAAACATTGCATGGGTATTTGTGAGCCCCCTTCTGATTCTGCTTCATGATTTGACCCAGGCTTAGAAAAAGCCCATGGTGGGTCCCATGGACCCTCCAACAGGTAAGAGTGACTTTTGGCAGATGCCAGGGGCCAGTGAGAGTAGAGGGGTGATTGAGAAGCTGAAGCATGAGTGTGGAATCTGGGAGGTTTCCAGTTAGAGAACAACCAGGTCTTCCAGGGCCAGAGCTTGGATAATAATCTTCATACCTGGCTTTTTGGCAGAGGACTTGTTCTGTAGCTCATTGTTCATGGTTCCCAGGTCATCTTGCTTCTGAACCTGATGGTACATCTGGGTAAAGCTTGGAGGCCTGGTATAGGGACCTCAAACAGGCCAGGGCCCCCACAAGGATCTTTTCTTGTGGACAGAAGCTCAACAGGGCGGAAACAGTTACAATCAATTCCCAGAAAAGCCTAGAAACGGAACTTTGGAGCAGTAGTGATGGCATCTGCAAGTACATTGCTGGAGCCTGGAAATTGCCCTGGGGCCCAGTGTTGCCATTTGTGAAATGGGAATGAGGGGCAGAGGTGCCCCACATGGTGTGGTAAGGCCTGAGTGGATGTCAGGTGCCAAGCACTGTGCCTGGTGCATAGTAGGTGCTCAACAAAGAGTCTCCATTACAACTTATTGTGATGCTCACAGCAGCCCTGTGAATCAGGCGGAGGTGGTGATTATCCAGAGATGGAAAGCAATGTGCCTGGCTCTTACACCTAGGAAGGCAGAGGTGGGATTTCTTTCCAGTTCCCAAGTTCAGGCCTTTCTTCTACACAATGC